AAATTTTTCTCTATAACTGTCTAAAATCATCCCTCCCTACTCTCATTGGCTAACCAGACTAGTGAAAATATATTTTGAATTATTAAAAAATAATATAAATTATATTTTGAAATTTTATTTCAGAAAACTTAAACTTTTGAATTTTAATGACTTTTTAACATTATATCAGAATTTTGATAACCAAACGAGTTAAAAATTTAAATCTTACTATTTCTATTTTTTCGTCTAATTAAACACAAAATTATATTTTTATTGGATCAACGCAATCTTGACACGTTTGTTGAATTATGACATCTTCAGCTTGAAACTATTCTTCATTTCTTGTGATAATGCAAAGGAAGATGTCAAGATTGCGTAATGGATGATTCTTATTTCGCCAGATATAGATATTTTATAGGTTACTAGAAGCATTTATGTTATCCACTAATAATATATACAACAAAAAACGTGCTCAATTACTATTTTCTATAATAAAAAAAATTAATCAATTAAGTGGGTTTGACAACGTTTATACATGCATGATTAATGCATGCCAAATTGCTGTGGTTGAGCTGTATTCAATCAATTACAGAGTAATTTGACCATGAAATGATGCTAACATGAATTATTATGTTAAATCCTACTTTTTTAAATTCTAATACATGGTTAGGATTATTTTATATAATTTCATCACTTTAAAAATATTTAAATGAACTAATTTTATGACAAAACATATATATATAAGCTCCAGAGATTTTTTTTGTCCTTTTTTTAGCATTACTAGACATTTTCTTCATTCTGGTTTTGCCATATAAGATATGTGATTTTTTTTTTTTTTAGTCATAGTATTTGTTTAAAAATGAAAATAATTATACACGTATTATTATTGTCAGGCAAAACTTCCAATTAATGTCGAAAAAGATATTTTATGACACAAATTGGTCGCCATAGAATATATCCAATTAACAAAATGAGGTGTTCAACTTTTTTTTAATATGTCAATATTTCAACGTATCCCATTATCAAACTTGGGTTTTCAATTTTTTTTTTAAAAATATTCCAATATTTTAATATCTCAGAATCCTTTTATATAAGTTAGGTATCATTAATTGTGTATGGATTATTCTTAAACACAGCTTTTTATATAATTAATATATTTTCTCTCTATAATTTGTTCTGAAAAATATAAAAAATAAAAATAAAAAAAGGCGACAACACACAGGTCATTGGCTAGTTTATGTTAAATGAAAAACTTTTCCTTTATAAATCCAACTTATTGGGAATGTTAAAAAAATTCTAAATTTACATAATCTAACTTTTTTTAATTCGAAATTACTTAGAGAGATTTTTGCCAAACTTAATTAAGGTACAAAATAACCGGTCAATAAAAAAAACAACTGCTTAAGTTCATTCGTAATTGGTTTGAATTTTAACGTTTCAATTAAAAAAAATAAAGCTATCACGGTGTGTAGATAAAATCAATTTAAATTGACTATTAATTATGTGCTTGAGGTATCGACCGTAGATAACACACGCTCATTTTTTAATTATTTATTTATTCGATAGTAACATGTATATTAATTTAAACAAAGGTCTCTTGTGTGATTTTTAGAGCACATCGATCTTCAACACCGATCTCAAAGTTTGAAAATATATACTCTATATTGATTTAATTGGATATATTATGCCTGATAAACTAAGTTACAGGTTACACAATTGAAGATAGCTTTGAATGTTTAAAAACTAATTGCAATACTATCTAATATCTGTACGTAGATATAACTTGAATATTTAAGTGATGCAATCCTACGATCTAATATCTACAGGTATAACAAACCATTTGAATACAAGCTAGAGTCTTTGTCAATTATTTGTCATCCTTTCAAGAATTTCATATATATTACCATTTACAATATTTGGAAGGGAAAAAAATCAAATTAATTGGTAAAATTAGCAAAATTATTGGGTTATTAAAGAAGTTCAATATAAAGTTTTTAATACTTCTTTTCTGTAAAAGTTTATATCTAATTCTAATCGTTTTAATGTTTGTCGAAATTGGTCATTAGTTGATTAAATTTTCTAACAATAATTGTTGGGTTGTAGCATGCAGGATAAGCTTATGCTTTGTTTCCTTTTAATTAATAAATTCTTCTCAAAAAAAGAAAAAAAATGATAATCCACGTCCCTGCAGGAGCTCGAGAGGTTAAGGCCCAAGTAAGACAACACCTCTCGAGAGGTTAATAAATTTCAAAGGCACGGGGTGGGACTTTGAAATTTATTTCAAAGACGTACGGGAAGGAAGATAGGTCCTTAATTGACCTCTACTCTCAGGGGACCAATCCCGTCGCCTTTACTAATAAAAAATAATTTTTTTCATAATATGGTTTAATAAGCCTAGCAGACTTGTACTCCCATTTCTTGAATAAAATTGGGATTTGATGCATGATTTTTACTATGAATTGTATATTTATTTGAGTAGTACTTCGGATGTATCTATAATTTATCTTTTGAGTGACTTATATACAAGATTAAATTATTATATACATCTGAAATTATTTATTTATTTTTTTGGGTTGATGGTTTTATTTGTTATTATATAATAGAATAATTATTCAATGTTATTTTATATTTTTAATTAAATCAATTTTATCTTTGAATGTATATTGGATATCAAATCTATTTTTCTAATAAAATTTTTAAATTAAACTATTAAAATTAATTACACGATTTGTATAGAAAACTTAAATTTATCGTAATTGAAGATTCTAAGGAATTGGGCTAAGCTTCAAGTTACATAGACAGAATTTCCTCTTTTTGGTTTAAGAATTTATAATAGATGCTGCTGTCTATGGCATCTGGAAGCAGAGGAACTTAAATGTAGGCAGCAGAGAACTAGAATTCTGGAAGAAGCTTTGTTAAATCCTGCGTTTTCTATTATTAGTTCTATCATTGTGCTTTTTTTTAAAAAAAAAAAAAAAAAGACAGAAATCTATGTGATTTGTTCTACAAGTTGCAAAAGCATGCACTTAGGCCCACAGACAAGCAAGAAGAATGCTTTCATACTTTTTTTTTTTTTTCCCTTGCAGAATTTTGAATTTGCTTTATGCTCTCTTTATGTTTGACAGGGACCAGCTTAGGAACAGCCCATGTTTTTCTTCTCTCTTTTACAGAAAAGCACATGTTCATCTAACAGACTTTTCCATAGCTCACTGTCAGTTTAAGAAAATAAGAAGCGGTCCTTGCACCTTTCCATAGCTCATTGTCAGTTTAAGAAAATAAGAAGCGGTCCTCGCTTGATTTAGAATCATAGGGCAATTTTACCAAATGCATATTACATTTCATTTTAGAAATACCATAATGCTTAAACAATTTCGTCAACTGCTTTTGGAAACGTACAATAAAACACACATACTTATCTATCTCATCCCAAAAATATGATGCAATGATTATTATTATGTTTTTATAAATAATAAAAATCCTCAACGAAATCTCTTGTTTGATAGAAAATATCGTTTGACAAAAAAATAAAAATAATAAAAATTCTCAACGAAGTCTCGTATCTAAAGGAAACTGTCGTTTGACAAAAAAAAAGTGAAAAAAATAATAAAAAATCTCAAGAAAGTCTCTTATCTAATAAGAACTCGACATTTGACCAAAAAATAAAGAAAAAAATTCTTAATGAAGTCTTCTATCCGATAGGAATCGTCGTTATAAAAAAATCAATACTTATAATCAAAATGTTCCCTAACACATCGGTTGTATCGAGGCTTAAAGTGGATCCGATATTTGAACTACATGTCGCCCCGACGAAGAGGCTCAACGATCATTTTAATATGAATTTCATGCCCAAAACTAAAAAAAACTTAATTCAACTTGGAAATTGGAGTTAAATCGAAAATAAATTTGTTCAAAATAAAATACTTTAGGAGATGAATTTAAAACTAAACTAAACGTGGTACCTTTTCTAGTAAAGAGCGTCTTTGGGGTGATCAATATCTTTCCAAAGTGTAACCAATTCCTTATTCGAAATCTTTGAACCAATGCTCATTTTGGGTTTTTGGTTCCTTTAATATTAGATGGCAACTCCAAACTTACAAACAATTTCTGTAAATAAATGATTAACATGAGAATATTTTTCTAAGGAGTCCCAACATTGGTTAGCGAGAATATTGACCCTTCATCTCGCGTTTTGTTCTTTACATCGTTTTTTAGTTTTCAAAGATAATTACATTATGTATCTATGTTAGTTAATAAATAATTTTTAAAAAGTTAATTAAAGGTTCAAAATCAATGTATTTATCTTTTAAACGTGACACATTTACTAATATTATACTAGTCTTGCTATTTTTGCTATATGTATCAAATGGACTAGAAAAAGAACGTTTTGGACACTGTAGTTTGATGGAGATATAAACATTATTACTGTTGTTGTTGTTATTATTATATTGTCATTCAAACTTAACATTATACAAATATTAGTTTTAATATGCATGAAAATTTCTGAAGAAAATTAAATTTTTAAAGCAATTTAGTTTTTAATATAGCAAAATAAAAACGGCGACCATAGGATTATTTTTATAATATTCTAAAGAAATATATTATAAATTACGTCAATTATATTCAATCTGTCTATGTCTATTAATTTCAATTTGACTGGAGTTTCAATCATGTAAATGAATTTAATTAGGATGACTGTTATGCAAATTAGATCAGGAATCTATGTCTATTAGTTAGAATCTGACTAAAATTTTGTATAGTAATTAGAGTAGAATTCATTCAATTAAACCATGCATGTCTTAGAATTTCAATCAAACAAAATTCTCATTAGGAAGAAAGGATGAATACACTCTGACGAATAAGGTACCGTATTCCGTCGATCTCGCGAGAGTTTATTTGCACTAATTCCTTAGGTTTTTTATTTGCCCTCCTTCTACTTCCTAATTTCATTTATGTCATTCTTCCATTTACCTTCCTGCCGCCACCCCACCCCCACTCTTTATTTTTTTGTTTCGCTGTTATCTTCAACCTTTTTGGTCTTTACACACTTTCTTGACGTTTCCATTTAATCCTCCTGGTCCCTGTCTTATCTTCCTGCAGCGCCGGCTATTGTCTTTCCCTTCGTCGCTTTCTTCCTTCCTCCTCGTGGGAGATCTGTCCCAACAATTTCGTTAACTCTTTTTTTTTTTTAAAAAAAAAAAACCTAGGTTACATCAACTAATAAGAAAAATGAATAAATATTGCAAACAACCGAAATGATATATTGCAAAAGGATATATCATAAAACAAGAACTTACTAAATACTACAACTGCATGAATGTTTTTAATTAAACGGTATGATTGATAAATGATACAATGTAATTGTCACAAGTATTGAGGGATAATAACTTGTTAAATTTCATATGATTTTTATTTTTATTTGCACAAACAACCGAAATGATATATAAATGATGTTAATTTTAATGTAATTGTCAATTAATACAGATGATTGAATTTAATTAGATAGAATACAAATACTAAATTCTCAGGCATATTTAGCACATATTTATAAGTTTTTTCCCGAAAAGAAAAAAAAACCATCATTCCTAAACCCTAGCAAAATGACTGACTTTCTGTGGATAATTGATGTGAAACTTGGTCTATCTTTTCTTCTTCTTCTTCTTCTTTGTTATTATTATCAGCAATAAATGAGATAGGGAAATGTGTGCAAATCAACATGTGCAATTGGGCATGATGTTGAATTAATAGTATAGTCCAGTCAACTTGCAGCTATTTAGTAATGGAATTGAATAAAAAATGTCCCCACTTGGCCACTTCCGATCGTAGTCCAAAGAATCAAGGGATAGAGTACATGGTGGAATAGTCATACTTGACTAATTTATCGGGAGATCGTCCCCACCTTGAATTTGAGGTTTTTTTAAAAAAACATAATGAATCCATGAAGATAACTTTAATTATATATAAATTAAGTTCTTTAGATTTGAGAAACGAATTAATTTATAATTTTTTTTAAAAAATAATTATTTAATTTTTATATTTTAAAATTTCTTATAGCTTAATCATTTTTATTTTATTTTATTTTATTTTATTTTTTAAATATATAATACAACTCACTTAAATTCAAATCCCCACAAAAAAATATATGTGAGTTAAAAAAAGTTTTTTTTTTATCATTAAATAAGAACAAATTAAATACTACAGTTGATTATTTTTAATTAAATAACATGATTGACAAATGATGTAATGTATAAGAGCATATTTACGAAAATATCTCTTGCATTCTAAGAGTCACCACTTCGTACTCCCTTCACTTACATCAAGCCTCATATATTCATAGATATTCACTTGTTAGATTTGATATGATTTTTATTTTTATTTTCATATATTATTTTTATTTATACACAAACAACTGCAATGATATATAAATGATATCAATTTTAATGTAACGGTCAGTTAATACACTCCATTCAATCTAATTAGATAGAATACAAATAGTAAATTCTCAGGCATATTTAGCACATATTTTTAAGTTTTTTCCGAGAAAAAAAAAAAAAAAAAAAAAACTATCATTCCTAAATCCTAACAAAACATATAAATCTTCACACCATTCAACCGTGGGTCCCTTGATTAACAACTCCATCGCAAGCCGTCAAGAGTGGAAGAAAAGATCCTGTGGAAAAATTTCAATCAATGCTTGAATTACGCTTGATTTTCCTTTATGTGCTAAAAAAACATGTGGGGTTGAATTATCATCCTTATCTATTGTTTTTATAACATGTGAAAAAAAAACATTATAATATACATAAACTATAGTCAACTCAGAGAGTCATGTGGCTAATATTTATAAAAGCTAAGTATGGAATCAAAACAAAAACACGAGAGCGAGTCACTAGGATTAATGAAGGTTCTGTTTTTGTTTGACACGTGGCACACCATTTATATACCATTAAGAGCACAGTCACCTAGCGTTGATGAAAGCTACCTCTGTTCGACATCTATATATCATATAGACTAGAAACCATAGTTTTAAATTAGAATTTGACTAAATTTCTATATAGATTTTAGACTAATAATTACCAATGGAACCATATTTTGACTAAAGGTAGTTAACATGATTAAGGAATACATACTTAATTAAGATTTTTTTAAAATTTTAAGAAATCAATCGAAACATAAAAAATGCTACATCATTAGTTAAAAAGGAAAAAAATGAAATTTTGATAAAAAATCATTGAGATAATTGATATAAATGAAATTTTCTAAAAAATAAAATAAAATAAAAAGTCCCTCAAACTTCAAGAAGGAAAATTAAAATTTACTCAATAATAAATCACAAGCTTTGAATATCAATGGAAATGAAATTCCTTTCTATTTGGGCCGTGTGAAGACGAATCAACTAGATTAAGCCCACTGCAACAGTGAGTCTAGTGACTTTGGACTGTCGTTGAGAAAACAAGCTCAAATCCAACATCATTAGTCAGGCCCACAATGGAACCCAAATAGGGTTGGGTACACCACCATTAATTCAATTTTTTATTCTACATGTAAAAACGAATACCATATCCATCATCCATTACTCATTAAAAAATCACCATAAAACTTTTTACCCTACTCACATTAGTTTACCTTTTTATTTATTATCTATTTAATACATGCTAAAAATAATTTGTCTAAAATATTTCATTTTAGTATTTGTAATTTCAATAAAAGGTTTTTTATCCTTAATTTTTTTTTTAACATTTTGATCATTTCTTTATAAGTTTTTTATCCTTAAAGTTTTCTTAAAAAATATTTTGATCCTTAATTTTTAAAGTTTATGCAATTAGATCTCTATATATTAAAAAAATCAAAATAAATTAGTGAATATTAATATAATAAAGAATGAATACTTATATCTTAAACCTATATTAATGAATATGTATTTTTTTATCCTTATTTATTTTAATATCTATTATATAATTTTAATAAGTATTTATTAAATCGAATAAAATGAATATTTATTTTATACTTAGTATATTGTCATCCTAAGCCCGAAGCAAGGGACCATTACATTATTGGGATGATGTCTCCGTCTCCCCTCATGCAACTTGTGAACCACGCACAGCAAATTGTGAACCACACGCAGCAAAGAGGAACAAGAGGACCACTTAAGGACTTTATCTTCGGGAGACAACTGTTAAGTTAGCTAGCCCAATGGTCTTAGACTATGGTTTAAACTACACATCCCAGAATGGTAAGAATTCCCTTTCCTTCGTCTCTGTAGACGACTGTTAAGTTCGCACATCTCGTTTTACTAATAATTATGTCAACTAGCTACTTGCTTATTTAGAGTTCATTTTATTCGTGTTTAGAAGGTGTTGAATCAAATTCGTCATTTTTATATGTGTTTGTGAGTAAAAAATCTCATACCAACTTTTAAACTTTAATCAAAGGATTTCTTTCTTGAAATCCCATTTGAATTTATAAAATTTGATATAAAAAAATTGTGAATATTCTTATCAATCATCTTAAAAATATGAGTTCTAGCCTCCCACTGCATCTAAGAGACATTGATCCAATTTCATCGTTATTACATGTGAGTAGAAAATTTCATGCCAACTTCTAAGTTTTGATAGAACAAATTTCTCTTTCCATATCCCATTTAAATTTGTGAATTTCGGCAAAAAGATGAGGAATACACTGAGGGATGACAATTGATCAAATATAAAATAGATATTCATATTACCCCACTCAATAAATATCCATTAAGAATGTTTAATGCGTATTGAAGTGGGTAAGAATAAAAAAATAATTATCCACTTATTTGATTCTAGGATATAAGTACTCATTCTTTACTCTATTAATACTTACTAATTTATTTAGATTTTTATTAACATGTAATAATCTAATTATTTAAAATTTGAAAATTAAGAACCAAAATATATGTTTTGAAAAATTTGAGGATCGAAAAAACTTATAAATAAATGACTAAATGTCAAAAAAAAAAATTTTAAGGATCAAAAAAATTTTCTTAAAAATTATAAGAATTAAAATAAATATTTTTGACAAATTAAATTTAGCATATATTTTATTGATATTAAATAGATTGATAAACTAGTACTCATAAGCTATAGACAAAGTAAAAATTTATATAATAATTTTTTAACGAATAATGGATAAAATATTCTTTTGATAGATATAATAAAAAAAATTAAATTAATTGATTAGGTATTCGTATTTCTCAGTACGCTTCTCCTTTGTTAGATAAGCATGAATTCTAGCCTCACAATTTACTAAAAAGAATAAAAAATTATTTTCTTGTAAATAAATTAGAAAGAATATAAAATTAGTAAAAAATAATTAATTATTTTAAAAAATAATTAATTCGTTTATCAAAATTAGAAGGAGTAATTTATAATTTACTCAATCAAATTGTCACAGTCAATTAACGCATTTAGGTTACACATGGCGTAATTAAAATAACCCAGACAAAGACAATTTTCTCCTAATTAATTCTTCCACTCATCCGAAGGTGCGTAGTCAGATTCGTGGCCCAATAATTATTATAAACTGTCAAGTAAGCACAGAACCTTTCCAAATTGCATTTTTCTTTTTCGAACTTTTGTCTAATTACATTGATTGAATTGAATGGTCCAATCCTTTTTCTTCATTTATTTTTGGCACTACACAAAAACACCCCTGTCAAGTTACAAAACGACGTGCAGCTCAATTAATGCCTCGCTTGCCTTGCTCGTCTACACCTTCAGAAAATAAATCAACTCATTAATTACTTTCGTCCTTGACTATCTTAAAACGACAGCCACATTAAATGACGGGCACCGAATTGTTTGACGTGTGGCCCATCAGTTTCAGTAGCAATTAATGCTTGGTTCTGTTTTAGATTGACACGTGTCAGATAGTGACTCTCCCATAGTTAATCGTCCAAGGTTGTGTTAAGATTTTCCCACTTTAATTGCTTGATGTTGACGTTGCTCATTAAATGAGGGTAATGACGTCAGCATAGGACCGACTCTGTTCTGGGAGTGGACGCTCACGGGAAATGCAGGATTTTTAATGCTTTTGTTTGGTTGGTGATTTTCCCCGCCTTAATTAGTGTTAGTAATTGACCTTTGAACTAATGAGGTTAGGTTAGCTAATCAGCTTGGATTTATAGTTAATTATGATCAAGTTTCAAATCCCAAGTCACCTTATAAAAAAGTAGTAGGATGTTAACAAAAACTTCTTTTCGATATGGTTTAACTTTGATTAGATTGAAGAAGATGCATATGAAAACGAATTTGATATGAATTTGAGAATATAATTTTGTGGTTTTGTTAGCAAAGTTTTATATAACTCTTATATAATCAAATTTCCATACACGCGTGACAGATTGAGGAAAATAATGTTGTTTTGTTGATATTATGTTTTTGTTTGGATAACGTTAGAAAATCTTAAATCATTTTTCAATGATATTTTTTCTAATGAAACATAAAAAAGAAGGATAATGTTAAACTATTAAAATTAATCTCGAGATTTGTACATAATTATTTTTTATTTTTAAAATATATTTATAAGTTCAATAAATAAAAGACTTTAATTTATAAATTATGTGATTAATTTCAGTAAATTAACTTGAACATTCATTAAAAAAATATATATTAAAACTTATATTCAAAATTAAAATTAAAATTGATTCAATTAAAAATATAATGATAAACTAAAAAATTAAATTATTATATAAGACGACACGGAAACATGCAAATGATCTGAGCCAAATCCAAAATGGATCAATAAAAGGCCTAACGGGTGGGAAAATGAGGTACGGACGTAGTTGAAGAGATCAAGAGACAACTTGGCTTGCACCAATAAATGTGCGCTGAATTTGGAAGCTATAGCCTCAGAAACTGGTAGAACAATCCAAGATGAATTTATTAATTATTCCCCTAAAAATGGCAGAAGGAAAATGAATTCTTGATTGTAGCATTGAATTTGGCAAACACACGAAGCTCACAAAATTTGATAAATTAAATAAATTTCTTTCGGTCTGCTTGGCAATACTGCAATGGTTTTCTGGATCCATTTCTGTCAGATTTAGATTTATGCAAGCCTTTTCAAAAGAACAATCACATTTTCAATGCCAAAAGCTAGAATTAGAATGATCATTCATGATATTTTATTGATATATCTACATTTTGGAAGACACGAAAATATCCACAAGGCATAGAATACGGCTTCAATTCTGTTAACTTCATAAAAAAAATTTCAGCATTCAGACAATTATCAGGGTTTCACCTATCCTAGGTTGGCCTAAAACATATAAAAGGAAAAACCTATTTTTCATACACAAAATCATAGTAATTTGCAAGTATTTAAGTAGTTTGCTTAGGACTAGACTAGTTCTCCTGTTTTGGGAATCTTGAACCATGGTTGTTACAAAATCAAAGTGAAGCATTGAGGTCAATTCTGGGCTTCTTTATAGCTGAAGGAGATGGAACAGTGGAGTTGCAACTAGGGCACTTGGGGTTTGTCTTCAATGCAATCACATATAGCAAACAACCAGGGCAAGCAGCAGCAAACACTCCTATTGACGAGGATGATGTAGTGCTAATCTCATCTTCTTTAACGTCATTAGCTGGTGGGGTTGGGGTTGGTGGTGGTGGAGGTGATCTCTTCTTAGTCATGGTCTCTTTCTCTGCTCTTTGCAAAGCAGATTTAACTTTATCAAGAGTGCAAACACTTTGACAATGATTAATTGAAGGTACAAGTTTCAACTCCAAGCAACTTTCTTCCAAGAATTTCAATGGTGGAGACTTAGAATCTTGAAATTCTGATTCTTGGGTTGTCCTCTGTTTGCGATGCTTCTTGTTGTTTAGGGACGGTAATGGTGAGCTTACAGAGTTGCATCTCTGCAAGTATACCTTCCCAGAAGACTGCATGAAAATCCCAATTCATCAACAATTTTGTTTTCACTTTTCTCGTAATTTAAAAAATAAATATATTCTTTGACAACTGCCAGAACAAGAATATTCAGTTCTTCTACACTAAAAAATAAAAAATCTTTCTTGGCTGCCGAAAAAATTTGTATTTAACCAAAAAGATTATCAGCAGCCTAAACTCTGCTCAAAAACTGTTAATCAACATGAGGGAAAACTATCAAGATTGTTTATTGGCTATAAAAACATTGAAAAAAACATACCTTTGAATCAACAGGCACATCCCAGCTTTTTGTGATTTGCAATTCCAGATCCAAATCTTTGTTACCAACCTTGGAAAACCCACCAAGCAAGTCTTTTGTGGTCAAAATCTCTGAATTGCTTGTACTGTTCATCATTGAGCTCACTTCTGCTGCCATGTCTAACCTTCTTTCTTCAACCCTTTTGAGAGTGAGAGAGAGAGAGAGAGAGAGTGAAATACAAATGGAGTAATTTCTATGAGGGAATAGACAAGAGAGGCAACGAATAATAAAGCAAGATGGAAGCTAATAAAGAGGGAAACAAGAATCAATGAAGTCCACTAAAAAATTGTAATTATTATTGTTTGTGCATTTAATTTAGATGGAAAAATGATAAATTAGTCCCTTTAGTTTTGAAAAATAAATTATTAATCTTTTTTAAAAACTAATTATTTAGTTTTATATTTTTTTCTAATTTGTTTTGAAAATAAAACAATAAATATTAAAAAAAATATATTTTTAAAATAAATTAATATTATATTAAGTCTAATCAACAATGGTTATAAAAAGACTAAATAATTAAGTTTTCAAACAGAAGAGACTACTCAATTTATTTCTCAAAACTAAATAGACTCATTTATAATTTACTCATATAGACTCTTTAGTGAATTTCTCCTCCTTTTTATAACAAAATGACCATGCTACCACTTCAATGCTAATTTCTTATATTGATTGTTTTTTTTTTTTTCCTTATGATTCGATGGATAAATATACTTTTGAATTTATCTACATATTAACTATATAATTGTTAAAAAGACACCTCCGATTATATGAATTGATACTAACATGCAATAATTATCTAGAGATTATTTATGATTTAATGCAATTGGTATTTGATAGGTATTATTTATGAAAGGCGAAATGTTTTTCAAAGTCAAAGAACTTCACAAGATTACTCAATTTCAACCATTCTTACCAGTGGGATTGAAAAACATTGATATTACATAATAATCATTTTTTATAGAATCTACAAAATATTTAAAACTCAAATACCATTTTATATATATATATATATATATATATATATATATATAATATTAGAACATAAATGTATATATAATGATACAACTCTAAAAAAAATTATTATTTTTTAAAAATACAATGTGCATTGCGAAATAAAAAGTCTTAATATATTAACTATTTCAACCGCAAAGCCTACAAAATCCTTTATTGATTTATAAAACATATTACAACTTAACAAAAGACTAAAATTCCATTACAATATAGCAATACATTACATAATCTCTTAAAAACATGATATAAGCCCATTTTAGAAAGGGTATTTTTGAATTTTTGCAACTTTTTTCTTTTCAAAAGCCATCATTCCATTATTGCATTAAACGATCCTTGACTTGGCTAACATTCACTAGTGCTAAAGAAGAGCAAATTATAAATTTGACTCTTTATTTTGAAAAATAGATTAAATAATAATCTTTCTTGTTTTAAAAACTAATTAATCAATCATTTGATTAATATTAATCATAATTAATTTAAAATTATTTTATTTTTTAAATATCTATTTATTAAAAACAAAATAAATTTAAAAGAGAAAATGATTAAGCTACAAATATATCTAAAAAAAAACTAATTAGTTAATTATTGAAACTATAAGGACTATTTAGTTCCTTTTGAAAAACTAAAGGGACTAATTTTTAAATTACCAGTTAAACGAACAAGGTTAAAATTGACTTTCTCAGTACCTTGAATCAACAATCTACCAATAGTTGGTGGTGGCAGAAGTTTCGTGAGGTCTTTGGTCTTTAATAAAACAAGAAGAAGTTGAAGAGGTCTCATTAATGGCTGCCATTTAATGCATTTTGTTCTCTTTAGTTAAAAAAACCTGCCTTTATCATTGGTTTCCTAGAAGGGGAATAAATTGTCACTCTCACTATATGCGCGTGCTTAGAACGTAAAGTTAGCTCCGCCTTATTTTCAAAACTCTTCACGCGTGCAATACACGCCTAGTGATATTGATAGTGGTTATTACGAAATTGTACATCTCTACCTATCCATTCAATAAAGATTTTTAGTCGTAGCCCAAATTTTTTCATTGAAGTTCACGTGGAGTGGGGAATTTTGATCAAATCCATCATTAATGATCATTTAATTCTATACACACTTGTATGATTACCCTATGCTTCTTAAGTACATATTTTATACAGGTAATTACGGTTAATTTTTATGGTTTAAGTTTTAAGCATCAAACATATTATATATTTTTTATTCATACTTTTCAAAAATATATATTTTTTAAATTATATTTGAATTTTTTTTTATAAAATAAAATTTAATTAATAATATTTTAATAAAATAAATCATTTTAAAGTTTTTGATCAAATAAACATTTTAGAACATATATAAATAAAAAGATGAATAATCTCTTTGAAATATGATAAGTTATTTACTTATAATAAAGAGTATTCATAAATTAGTTTACAGGTTCATTAATATTAAATTTTATTATAAAAATTATTCTTGGATTGACTTGCCCGGTAATCGATATTGAATTTTATATTTGGATGATTTTAACAGAGTTTTTTTTTTTTTTTTTTTAATTTAGTGAATTGGGAGGAATTTAATGAAATTATGGCATCATGATTTGAATCCAAATATATATATATATAATATTTTTACTCACCATAATATCAGAATTTAAATTGATATTACTCGTAAGATATTCTTCGAATTCAAATTCCAAAATTAATAATGTGTAAAAAATAAATCAATTTATTCTCTAAATCAAATTTAAAAAGGGAGCTCGTGTTGTACAAAAATGTTAGATTCTCTGATCATCTTATAATCTATTATAAAGTGCACTTGTCTCTTTTATTTTAATTCTATGCTAGCAAGTGTTTGTGAATATTTAATATTTATTCCTAAAAAGATTTAGTTTTAATATGCTAAAACTGTTTTGAGGACATGCTTGCTGCTGGAACTCAAACAACAAACAAGTAGGCCCATTTCCGTGAGAGTAATAAAAGTTGGATTATGTAACAAAGGCCCAAAGTGAAGATATGAATCTAAATGATCCAGTCCCTTGTGCTACTTGAACTAAATCTAGTAGGCTTTGGATTCAACATGAAAGCCCATATGATATAGATGTCAAGATAAAGGTCATAGAGAAAATAAAATTTCTTAGGTTTTTTTTTTCCTCGCCAAATTCATGACTATTATAAAATTATTACTCTACATGCTTTAATTTCTAGAACCGAAAGTCTGTATTTTAGTCTTTTTAAAAAATCTGTATTTAACTCCACTAGTTTCTTGTCACTTGCAAAATAATCTATAGTATTTTTTTCAAAAAAATAATTTCTAATAGATTGTTTAGAATTATTTATAAATGAATAAATTATTTATTAAATATTTTTTTTATCTTTAAATAATTTTGTAAATTTTTTTAGTTACATTAATGTTATAATTTGTTAATCATATCAAATAATTTTTAACTGGGTAAAGTAAAATTAGAGTCAGAAATTGAATTATCAATTAAAATTTAATAATTAATAGTTAGGATACCCACACATTATATTATTTTTCACTTAACATCATATGATTATGATATATTTTTTTAATTTTAAATAGATCTTTTCAATTACATGTGACATGAATATAAATTATCAATACATATATGAATAAAAATTTAACATATTATTATTATTTTTGAATAGAAATTTTTTAAATATTATTAATGTTAAAATCTGTATTCAACTCCATAAGCATGTATTTTATATTTAGCATACTATGTTTTTGGAATAAAAAAATTTCGCCACTCCAATTATAAAAATGCCAAAACCTTTTCATATAAAATTCCAAAACTTAATGCTATCAAATATTTTATTTTATGAAAATAAGTGGGTGTTTTTTTAATTATAAAAGAAAGTTTTGAATTTAACATCTTTTTATTAGAGAAAGACGGATATCAATCCTAGTTGAACTACAATTTGTAACAAATAAATCAGTATTTTTACATGATGAGTTAAAATGAAATTTAAACTTTTCAATATTTGTTTTTTAAGATGAAAAAAATTAAAAAATAACTTTATCAATTATAATAATATTAAAAATGATAGAAATGGTTATGATGATAGTTGGAGAGAAGGATGAGAAGGTAGTATGATAATAGCAATAATATTTTTAAAAACATAATGCCACAATTATAGAAGGTCGCAGGAAAAGAAGAATAATGATAAAGAAGGAGTGGTAGTAGAACAGTAATAATAATAATATATTATTATTATTTCATAATAGCCAATAGTGGTAGTGGTATCACTGGTAGAGATGGTGTTAATAGTAGAAATAATTAATACATAATAAATAAAAATAATAAATCACTATTATGAAAAGAAAATTCATCGTCGTTTTTTTTTTAAATATTCCCATTCATCTCTTCAATTGAAATGAAAGTAAGTTTATTTTTTATTTCTATTTCTATTTCATTCTTTTCCACCAAAACTAATTTCTAACTATTTACCCAAGGTAATGAAAATAGTTATGGTATATGTACTTGAAAAAAAAGGTAAATATCCAAAACTGAAGATTTGAACTAAAACAGTACAGTATAACGCCTTCTGCTACTTGAGGTCTTGAACTAATAATAAGCCAAAAAGGCTTCGGATTCTATGAAAAGCCGTATGATTTAGACATCAAGACAACGAACTTCAACCTTGTCCGATAAAAATGAAACTAGATTTTTGTAAGAGAGATTTTCATCATTAAAATGATGTTAGATGACCGAAAAATTATGAATTTTGGGTCAAATCAATATAGACTCATAATTTTTTTAAAAGTTGATTTGAATATTATGAATTATTTTTTGGATAAATAATAGATCTTTTCAACCATTTATCTCACCTTAACCATATGTAATATCCCATGATGATATAAAAACATGACATGTGGCTTATTAATCGTTCTAACATAGCAAATATGCTTAAATGGAGTAGTTAGATTAGCAAGCCATGTGTCATGTTTTTAGATCATCACGTAATGTTACGTATATAATTAATATTGAACAAATGATCAGAGATAATTATTATTTATCAAAAAATAATTTATGATGTCAAATAATTTTTTTTTAATTATTACGAGTTTATATTAGT